ATGTCCTGCATTGAAATACCAAATACCAAGGAATGCAGCAATGATACAAGGTTTGGAAATGAATAATAACATATTAACCAGTGCACAAACATTTTGCACTGAGTTTGCATTTTAGTCCCGTGGTTCTCAAATTTGGGTCCAGGGACCCCAAGGGGTCCATGAAGCATAGCCAGGGGGTACAGCATATCACAACCCAGCCATTATCAAAGGTAATAATTCAATTATTGTAATTATCAAGTTTGTTTGACTGGTCACTTGAGTTGAAAGTTCAATCCAAACCTCAATAACTCAAAAACAAATAGGCCTATAAGTAATGTCAACCTGAATCTAATGTCAATCTGAATCTAATCAAAATGTGTTTTGTGTCATGTGGTAGAAGTAGATGCAGTTGCAAAAATATGTAGCACACAATCCAGGAATGTGGGACAAAAACAGTGGTCAAAAAATGTGCGAATGGGCAATCAGCAAACAGAACAGACTAGGAAAACCAAAATCTCTAAACCGAAGGACAATAGCAAAGTAAGAATAACCAGGATATCAAAACACTGTGACTAAGGAATGGCACATCAGGAACAAGAACTATGAACATTGGAGTGGTGGTTGGTGTGTGTATATTTAGAGGTGAGCAACGATAAAGTCCAGGTGTGTGTAATCAGTAGTCGGGGGACTGTGAACGTGACAGAGCATGTGTGTGCTGGGAACTGAAGTTCATGTTGGCCATGTTTATAGGCTCTGAGTTGGGTTGAAAACTGGAGTTCGAGGTGGCCATGTTTGTAGTTTGGGGTGGAGTCTGAGAGTTGGAGTTCCTTGCTGATTACGATGTAGACATGACAGACCCCCCCGTTCGAACAGCTCACTCCAGAAGTAGATTGTCTCTTGGACCTAGCTCAAGAAGCTTAATGTTCAGAGTGACGGGTATAGAATTTGTTGCAAAGGAGGGGGTCTAGAACATTTTGGACTGGTACCCAGCATCGTTCATCTGGGCCTTAACCCTCCCAGTCAGTAGTGGAGATTGCCCCACTTACGACATGAGTTGAGGATCTCCTTGACAACATAAGCTGGTTGCCACTCAATGTCAAGGGGTGCTGGGGTTGCTGTAAGTGAAACACTAGCCGCTAGTGGGCCTGGGGTGTCAGCTTTCAATCGGGACACACGGAATGATGGAGCTAGGCAAAAGTGACGGGGCAATTCCAGCTTGTTAGGTCACTTCATTAATTAGAGGTCTTGGGTTGCCTGGTTCATAGCTTGGGGTCTCTCTTCTGCATCTGTCAGCAAACTCCTTATATGTTTGTGCTGCTTGTTCGAGTCTCTGGTAAGTGTTCTCTCAGACCTGTTCACTTCATTGGAACCTTTCATCCACAGCTGGTGAGTCCAGTCTGATTGCATTCCAGGGGAACAGGGGCAGTTGGTAACCAAGTACACACTAGAATGGCATCAGCTGTGTGGGAGAGTGTTGCCGGGAGTTCTGGGCATACTCAGCCTAAGGGAGAAACTGGGACCAGTCTTCCTGGTTAGTGGCACAAAAAAATCCTTAGAAACCTGCCAATTTCTTGGTAGGCCCGTTCCACTTGACCATCGGACTTGGGACGTGAATTGTATGCCTCTGTCTGTGGGCCATTCTCTGTTGGTGTCTACCTTGTTTGTCTAAATTAGGACCCCCTCAGTGCTGATAACATAACCAGAGAATGAGATTTTAGACTGGCTGTACTCACATTTTTCACCTTTAATGTACAACTGGCTCTGTAGCAGTCTTTTTAGCTACTTGTCTGACATGGTCTCTAAAGATGTGGAATAGATTCATATATCATCTATGTAGGTGATCACAAACTTGCCTAGCATGTCTTGAAGGATGTCGTTAATGAGACACTGAGCACTGAAGGTGCACAAGAGAGGCCATAAGGCATGATGCAGTACTCAGAGTTGCCAGAGGTGGTGCTGAAGGCTGTTTTCCAATCATCGCCCTCTCTGATGCAGATAAGGTTATGTGCACTTCGCAAGTCCAGCTTGCTGAGCATGCACGCCTCTCAGATTTGCTCTAGGGCTGATGGAACCAGTGGAAGGGGGTAACGATACTTTATGATGACTTGATTTAATTCCCGATAGTCAATTCACCCCCCTATCTTTTCCACAAAAAAAAAGAATCCTGCTGATGAGGGCGATATGGAGGGTCAAATGTAGCCCTGTTAAAGTACCTCCTCAATTTAGTCTTCCATTTCATTTCTGATTCTCAGGGGCTGTCAATGGGTAAATGTGGTTGCGTGGTGGTGTGATGTCTACCATGAGCTCTATGGCACAGTCGTAAGCATGATGAGGGGGTAAGCCGCTGGCTTTACTAAACACATCCTGGAGCCCACGGTAACAGGTGCGAGTTTCCACCTGAGTGGATGTTCAGGGACTCTTGATGAAGGTGGATGTGGTCAGAAGCTGTGGGGTTCTGAGGCATCCAACATGAAAGTGAGGGGACCAGCGGATGATTTCTCTCTCTGCCCAGGAGATCTGTGTGTTGTGAACATGCATACAGGGAAAACCAAGGATGATGGGAAACTTGGTGGAAGTGGTGATGAAGAGGGATATATGTTCTTGGTGGAAGGTGCTGACTTGTAGTTGAATGGGTTTGGTATGGTGCGTGATGGCACCACCTCCAATTGGCCCTCGTCGAAGGCTTGGATTTGGAGTGGTGACTGGACAGGTTGGGTGTCAAGGCATATTTTGTCTCCTAGAGCCAATCTATGAATTTACCCTCTGCTCCTGAGTCAATCAGTGTTGAAATGAGTGTCTTATCTGTACTTTTATGGTAATAACTAGGCAGGAAATGAATTGAATAAGACTCACCCTTGCTGAGAAATGGGATGAGCTAATTTGCTCACAAGGTGGTTGCATGGCCAGCGGTAGAGGACATTTAGGGCATTGAATGACCTGGTGCTTGGAGCTGCCGCAGTAAAAGCAAAGTCCTCCACTTTGCCGCCGGTGCCATTCAAAGGTACGGAGCTTAGTTTGACCGACCTGCATGGGCTCTATGATGCTTGCCCAACTTGATGTAGAGGAGCTTCTCCCTGATTTCTTTTTCTTTTCGGGAGTGATCAAACACTTGTTGAAAGCATTCTATGAAGCCTTCATAAGATGAGACAGGCTTGCCTTATTGAGACCAAATGGCCGTTGCCCAGGTGAATTCTGTAGGCAGTGAGGTGGGTTGGGAACTGGAGTTCTTGTTGGCCATGTTTTTAGTTCAGGTAGCAGACTGGTAGTTGGAGTTCCTTGCCAAGTCTTGTGTAGACAAGACATTTTGTTATTGTACACATTCAAATAATGTGCCTAATACTTAAATAGCTGGATTTTGTTGATAACATAAATCTGTACTGAGGGGGTCTGTGGGATTTTCTTTACAGTTAAAGGGGTCCCTGGCTGAAAACGGTTTGAGAATCCCTGGATAATGAACAAGACCATTTATTTTCCTTTTCACCTTTACTTTGTGACAAATTTTTTTTTATGTTCATAGGTGTTCTGCCATCCTATACACGGCCACAGAATTAGAATCTTCACTGATCAAACTGGAAGGTCAGGTTACAGTAAAAAATAGAAAAATACCTACAAATAAAAGAGGCTCCAATCAACTTTACAAACGTTGTCTTAGGATTTTACGTCCTAGAAGCCCAAAACATGTAAAGCATAGTGATTAACTAGTGCCAACTGGAAACGACTGAGTGGAAATATTTAAAATCAGTATTCTTATGTGTAAATTTCTTTTTAATTTCATATTATACTCATCAGAGGAACCCAGGCTATTAAGCCTGGGTTCCTCTGATGAATATAAATACAAATGGAATATAATATGAACTTAAAAAGAAATTTACGCATAAGAATAATGAATACTAAAAAGACTAACAATACTGTAAGTTACTTGCCTCAGTACTAAAAGAAAATTTATTGGCTTCTGCTTAGGTTTTACTTGAGCAAATATAGTTTATTTGTTTGTCTGTTTATTGTTTGTTTTAATCACATATACGCTTTATAATATTATGTCCACTATTTACAATTATTGTGACATTTATAATAAATTGAAACACTATTTTTGTTTGTATGATGCAATGCAAAACATTTTGTTAAAATTAAATATAGTGGATATAAAAAGTCTACATAACCCTGTTAAATGTGCTGGTTTTTGTGATGAAACCAAGACAAAACATGTCAGATCTTTTTCCACCTTTAATGTTATAGGGCAACCAACAAAATTCAAGTGAAAAACAAACAGAAATGTGTTTTTCTATTTGGCATAAAAAGAAAAAGAGAAAAAACTTACAATAACCTGGTCACATAAGTGTGCACACCCCTTAACCAATACTCTGTTAAAGCACATTTTGTTTGTAATACAGCACTTAGTTTTTTGGGTAAGAGTTGACCAACATAGATTTGGCAATTTTTTTATTCCATTCTTCCTTGCAAAAATGCTCCGGATCTATCAAAATGTGAGGGGATCTCCTGTACACAGCCCTCTTCAAGTGATTCTACAGGTTTTCGATAGGACGTAGAGTCCCCTCCGGATGTATTGGAATGGAAAGCCCAATTCTTTTTTTTTTTTTTTTTTGCTATACACTGAAGACATTTGGGTTTTAGATCAAAAAATGAATATGAGATGATAGATCAGAAGTTCAGCTTTCATTACTTGATATTTGCATCTAGATGTGTTAAACAACTTAAAACAAGGCACCGTTTCTTTGAACCCACCCATTTTTCAAGTAATTAAAAATATTGGAACATGTGACTGACAGGTGTTTCTTGATGCCCAGGTGTGCCCTGTTAGACTGACATTTAATAGCTCTGAATGTCTACTCTTGGTTTGAGCTCTGTGTTTCACCTGTGAAGACTGTTGTTAAAAAGGATAAACCAACATGAAGACCAGAGAGCTGTCTATGGGAGACGAGCAAGCCATTTTGAAGCTGAAAAAAGAGAGATTAAGATAAGACTTTATTGATCCTAAGGGGAAATTTGAGAGAACCTTCAACTTCCCCTACCGGGAATTGAATGCAGGCCACGGCAGTGAGCCTGCCAAATCCTAGCCACTAGACCACCAGGGATACATCAAGATTGGATGCATTTCTCTGTAAATTGGCAGACAGAATGTTTCTTTAGATTTCTGAATTCATTCTGCTGCTACCATAATGAGTTACATCAATAAAGATTAGTGAGCCCATTCCAGAAGCAGCCATGAAAGCCCAAGCCATGACACTACCTCCACCGTGCTTGACTGATGAGCTCGTATGAGCAGATCCTTTCTTTGTCCACACTTTGGCTTTTCCATCACTTTTACTATTAACTTGGTTCCAGAACTTTTGTGGCTCATCTCTTTAATTCTTTGTAAATTCCAATTTGGCCTTCTGATTCTTACTGCTGAGGAGCGGTTTGTATCTTGTGATATGGCCTCTATATTTCTGCTCTCATAGTCTTCTTTGAACAGTGGATTGTGACAACTTCACCCCTGCCCTGTGGAGGTTGTTGGTAATGTCACTGACTGTTGTTTTTGGGTTTTGCTTCACAATTCTCACAATGTTTCTGTCATCAGCTGCTGTTGGTTGACCTGTTTGATGTCTGGTTGTTAGTACACCAGTGGTTTCTTTCTATTTCAATTCCAAATTGTTGCATTGGCTATGCCCAATGCTCGTGCAGTGGCGCTGATTGATTTTCCCTCTTTTCTCATCTTCAAAATGGCTTGCTTTTCTCCCATAGACAGCTCTCTGGACTTCATGTTAGTTTATCATTATTAGTAACAAATACAGTCTTCACAGGTGAAACCCTGGGCTCAAACCAAGAGTAGACATTCAGAGCTATTAATTGTTTAAACAATCAATCTAACATGGCACACCTGGGCAACAAGAAACACCTGTCAGTCACATTTGATCACCTGAAAAATGGATGGGTTTCAACAAAAGGTGCCACATTCGATGTGTTTAACACATCTAAATATCAGGAAATGAAAGCTGAAATTCTGATCTATTGTCTCAAATTCATCTTTTGATCTCAAACCCAAATGTCTTCTTTGTTTACTTTAGTGTCGTTTACTGCTCCTTATAATAGATTTTTTATGTTAATTTAATTATCTGTTTAGCATCGTTGCTTTACAGCATTTCTTTACATGTACCAAGGACTTTTGCACAGTACTGTATGTAGTTTATATGTTTTGAGTAAATAAAATATTTGAAAAAATGTCATTGTCAGTGTGTCTTACTAGGCAATTATGTTAATTTGCAGTCACTGAGTGCACATTTGTGGAAATAATATTAAATGTCGGTAAAGATATATTTTATTGCATGTGCTATTAAACATACATGGATATTTTAAAGTTTTATTTAAATGCAAACATTTTTAAGTTATGCAATTTTTTCTATAAAACACAAGTTATGAAATTATTGTCAGAATTAATATTTTGTGAACACCTGCCCTGGAGAAAAAAACAGCAGTAAGGTGCTTCCTGTAATGTCTAACATGATCGGAGAAACTAGTCTATCTTAGCCCACTCCTTCATGCAGAACATTTTAAGTTCTTTTATATACTTATGTTTCTGCATGCAGACATCCCACTTCAATTCAGACCACAAGCAGTGTTTAACCATTAATTTTGAAACTTGACAACCACAAGAATGTAACTTTGCAATAAATTGTAATCTTGGCTTTATTTATTTATTTAACCTCCGTCACCATATTCTAACTGTCAGCGTGAACAGTTGGCAAATTACAAACTGTCTAAATCGTGAAAATTTTTTATTATGGCATTTTGAACTGCTTATGTATTTTTATATTACCTGATATGTGCAGGTCAACAACTATATGTGTCTTTTGTGTTGGAAGTTCTTTTGTCTTTGATGATGACAAGGTTTTTTTTCCCACAAATGACATTTTGTTTGCATTTATTTCAAATATTTCTTAGGCATATCAATAATTTTGGCAAATATATTTTTGATAGAAAATAATATTTAAAAAAAATTAGATCTACTGAGAATGTTTTTATGTTAGAACTAAGATAACTGTTTTCCCATATTGTTCATTCATTCATCTTCAGTAAGTGCTTTATCTTGTTCAGGGTTGCTGTGGTTCTGTGGATATGCTATAATATAACAATATTTTTTTCTATTTTTTCTACGACAAATATGCTATTATTATTATTATTATTATTATTATTATTATTATTATTATTATTATTGAATATAATTGAATCATAAATAATAATCTAATCTTTAATCTAAAAATAATTAGCGGTTGCTTCGTAGCTTGGCTTTAAAGACCAAACGTAAATCTCAGATGCTTACTTTTGGGAAAAAAAAAAAAAAAAAAGCGACTTAACATGCTCTCTATTTTAAGATATTTAATCCGATTTCTCATTGGTGCTTTTTAACTGTGTGTTTAAGCAAAGCCGCAGTGAACGCTGGGAAAAATTTGGCTTCCAATAATATAGCATCATGGCGTCACACTGACACCATTATAGGTTTATCTTAGCTTACAAATAGACAAACAAGCGTTGGATAATTAAAACAGTATATAGAGTTTGTATATGCCGCTTAACTGGTTGCATTGCACTGTGTAGGAGAGTATATCTGACAACCTGTGTCATCTTTCTGAAATACCGGAGTAAAATTTGCTAGCTTAAGCAGAGTAGCAGGTCGGCTTTCTATAGTTAGCGCTCATTGTAGCCTCTCGAGCTAAAGCTAAAGGCAGATAGCTGGCTAAACGGGCGGAGTCGGCACTAGTACCGCTATAGTTTCTCGAATTGTTGAATGACAGCATAATGTATACAACCGGCTAGAGCTTAGTCAAAACGTCGGATACTTAGTTTTAATGTTCGTCAGGTTAAGGGTATTCTTCGGGGGAGAGAGATGGGATCAGGGGCCCTGGATTCGACCCAGTGGTTGTCCGTGAAGGAAGAGACTATTTTTCTTCACGATGGGCTGATGCGGGTCACGGACCTCGCCGAATTGCCCAGCGAACTTGGAGTCTCTGAGCAAGGAGACACCGAGCAGGAGGTAAACTTCACCCTTTGCTTGTTTAAGTTAGTCATTGAAACTGTGACTTGAATCGTCCTCTATTATTGATAGTTGTAGGCCAGGCTAAGGCGTTGGGGGTGGCTCATAGCTACCAGTGTGGACTTCCACCTTCATCTGACAGGCGGATGCTTGCCCTGTAAACACGCCTCTGTCTGATCGCCCGTCGTGAGCTAGTTAGCCAAACTGCGGATAAACATTCCCTTATAACGGTAACCGTGTAAGATTATACTGTTGACTAGTTAACAAGCGTAGACGAGGTTAGCCGGCTGGTAGTGTAGCTTCCTCGCTAAACCTGTGTAAGTTATCAAAGCTGACCGATTAGCTCAGGCTCTGTTACATAAGCTTTTTATTCACTTTGTATAACGGTAATCAGATATTAGCTAGACCTGGAAGCTCATGTTAACAAATCTAGCCCGCTAGCCAACCACATAATTTGTGTAGCTAACTACTGTATGTCACCTGGAATCAAAGCTGGTGTTTGAGCATGATGTTAGCAGTTTTTCAGCCACGCAGGGCGTGAGTTAACGTAATTAGTGTTACAGCTTTTTAGATTACAAATGGGAAAACACGGGAAAATGTTTTGTTGTCAGTTAATTAGATTATTCATGTCTTTTCGGTGCAATTCGTACAGCTATGTACGCTACCTTGGGTGCTTTGTGTAGACAGTCAGCATCTTTCATCTAAATATAGCTTGGCAAGCAGCTAATCCCTGACACTTTAGGCCAGTTGCTCCTGTCAAGATTTATCAATTAGTAAAATTATACTCACACTTATACTCTCATTCCCTTTATGGAAATACAGTTTAGCCTTTCAGAACAACAGTACTGAGTTGTATATCTAAGATGGAAGCTGTTTCTTTCTGCATTAGAACAAACTGTTGACCTCAGTATTATGCAGGACTTTAGTAATAAATAAATAAATAAATAAATAAAGTTAATTATCCAACGTAATTCATGCCGAAATAGTAGTGTCATGAACATGACATGTCCATATAACCTTACTGCAGTTTAAGCATAGCCAAGTCTACAGTGATTTGCAACCTGAACCTCCAGAGGACTATGATAACCTTGTAAGAGATGGAGGGAAGATAATGGAATGGCAATAGGACACACAGTGTAGGATGTGACGTTGTTACAGAAGTCAAATTTGAGACATTTAGGACAGACCCCAGCGTAACACTGGGCTTTTTCAAGCAAAACCGTGACATGTTTGTTCAAATATAAATTATATTCAAGAAAAGAAAGTGGTGTTTTAGAATAGGTGAAGAACACTGTAGAACTGAGACAAACTTGTGTAGGTCCTGGACATGCACTACATTGAGGGCTGTTTCTAGGATTTGATTCTAGGAAATTATCTAGAGCAGGGATTTCCAATCTTATCCAGAAACAGCCGGTGTGGGTGCAGGTTTTCCTTCGAGCCAAGCAGAAGCCACACCTGATAGTCTATTGAAAGTCACTGATTAAACAGCTGGAATCAGATGTGGCTCCTGCTTGATTGGAATGAAAACCTGCAGCTGCACTGGTCCTTTCTGGATAAGATCATCCCTGATGGCTGTACCATAAAGCAAGCTTAAAAACCTTGGGGTTTCAGTATGACAGCCAGCTTCACTTAACCAAACATTCACACGCAGGCTTAATCAGTATCAAGATGCGGGTTAACAACTCGTTAAATTGAGCTTTAAACTGGCTCCCACTGGCTCAAATGCTTGTTGTAAAAACTGGAGCTGGAGTTCATTAAGGTGTGTTTTTTTTTTTTTTTTTTTTTTTTTTTAAAGGGGACATTAACACATTTTAGCAAAATGTAACTTTATTTACAAAACATCTTCTACATGATTACCATTTCTTTGTAAACACACAAAGAGTCGTCTCTCCAACTCATGATGAACTTGTGTTAACACATCTTGTGTTATGCATGTGATTGCATGTCCATCGGAACCTTGCGACAGCTTCCTGATCCAGCCATGAGAATAATTTCAATACATTCTTCTTTTATCAAAGGCATTCTTAAAGGCTATCTGAAAAAAATATAATATAAACTAAGTAT